ATCTTTATTTGCATTACATTTTGTTTTTGTATTACACAGAACTGTGCTAGACCCAAAATCTACCCTTAAAAAATACTGAAGACTAATTAAACAAAATTATGTAAAATACACTGAAGTCTCTGAGCATCAGAACTCGATGGGACTGCCTTATTGTTCTGGATCTTACATGTTTTCCACCTTTGACAGGATGCTACCACATTTCTATTGCTCTGTATTAAGAATGTACCCTCAGAAACACCCAGTGGGTTTTCCTTCTATGAGAGGCTTCTGACTTTCACATGTTTGGGCTTTTACAGGTTTTACTATTGTATCAGGATCATGAAAACTTAACATTTTAAATGACAAGTAGAATGTTCTGTGTAAGATTAAATAGATATTAAACTAAAAGGCAATGTGGAAAGTTTGTTTGCATCCTTGCTTCAAAATGTCCACTGTAATAGACACTTCGTAGACAACAGGAGAAATTTTTATTTGTTCTTGGGACTGAAGATCTGGAGTTTTTGTTGGAAAATTGGCCTCATTTGTAGGAGGTGTATGCTTAGATCAAAGGGAAAACTGAGTTGTTTCATCATAATAACTTACACTTACAGAGACATTCGTTACATTTATAAAGCCTCTCTCCATTACAAATTTTTATTAGTGATGCTAGAAGATTTCCAAAAGAATTTCCCACATTCCATAGATTCAAAATGTTTCTGTCTCCAAGGTGATTTATATATTCAGCAAGTGAGGAAGAATAACCGAACAATTTCCATATTCTTTACGTGCATAACATCTCTACAACTGTGAGATTATTTATACTCTGACAGTACTAAAACTAAAGGATTTCCAATATTCCTTACTTAAGGCCTCTCTCGACTGTGAGTTCTCACATGTCTAGTTAGGTGTGATGATCGATTAAAAGCTTTGCCACACTCCTTACATTCATAAGGCCTCTCTCCACTGTGAGTTCGCATATGTATAGTGAGGTTTGATGACTTATGAAAAGCTCTGCCACATTCCTTACATTCATATGGCCTCTCTCCACTGTGAGTTCTCATATGTTTAGTGAGATTTGAGGACTGACTAAAGGCTTTCCCACACTGTTTACATTCATAAGGCCTCTCTCTACTGTGAATACTTGTATGTACAGTGAGGCTTGAGGACTGACTAAAGGCTTTCCCACATTCCCTACATTCATAAGGCCTCTCTCCACTGTGAATTCTCATGTGTGTAGTGAGGCTTGAGAACCGGTGAAAGGCTTTCCCACATTTCTTACATTCATAAGGCCTCTCTCCACTGTGAGTTCTTATGTGTGTAGTGAGGCTGGAGAACCGACAAAAGGCTTTCCCACATTCCTCACATTCATATGGCCTCTCTCCACTGTGAGTTCTTAAATGTATAGTGAGGTTTGAGAACCGACGGAAGGCTTTCCCACATTCCCTACATTCATAATGCCTCTCTGCACTGTGTCTTCTTTGTGAAGTGAGGTGTGAGGAGTGATTAAAAGCTTTCTCATATCCTTTACATTCATGCATCTCCTCCCCACTTTGAATGGTCCTATACATAGTGAGGTGTGGGGACTTATGGAAGGCTTTCCCACATTCCTTACGTTCACAAGGCCTTTCACCACTGTGAATTCTTATATGAGCAGCGAGATGCGAGGACTGACTAAAAGTTTTCCCACATTCTTTACATTCACAATACTTTTCTCCACTGTCAGTCCTTATATGTGTAGTGAGTACTGAGTACTGACGAAAGGCTTTGACACATTCCTTACATTCATAAGGCCTCTCTCCAGTGTGAGTTCTTGTATGTGTAATGAGATCTGAGGACTGACTAAAGGTTTTGCCACATTCCCTACATTCATAATGCCTCTCTCCACTGTGAGTTCTCAAATGTCTAGTGAGGTTTGAGGAATGACGAAAGGTTTTGCCGCACTGCTTACATTCATAAGGCCTCTCCCCACTGTGAGTTCTCATATGTTTAGTGAGGTTTGAAGACTGACTGAAAGATTTCCCACATTCCTTACATGCATAAGGCCTCTCTCCACTATGAATTCTTACATGTGTAGTGAGGCTTGAGGACTGACTAAAGGCTTTCCCACAGTCCTTACATTCATAGGGTTTCTCTCCAGTAAGATTTCTCACAGAAGTGCTGAGGTAAGAGGGACAACGGCAGGCTTCTCCACATTCCTTACACTGAAAGGCACTGAATCTAGAGTGATATGTGATATGATGCTTAAGTGATGAATAATTCATCACGGATTTTCCACACTCAAGGCACTCAGAAGGATATCCTTCCACAGGAGTTCTTTTGAGCACAGAAAGATCTGGAATCTGGCTGAAAGTCTGCCCACACTGACTGTCTTCATCAACTTCACAGAGGTTCTCTGCCATGTGCCTTCTGTTAAACACAGGCAGCAGGCTGTCAGATATAAAATTGTTGCCATTTCTCCATTACTATACACAGAAAACATGAATTGTTTTTGTCTTAAATTGTCTCATGTTTCATAGAATAGATCATCTGGCAGAGATACTACCATTGTTCACTCTGTTTCTAAAATATGGGTCTTTCTTGTAATTGTATATAAGTGAAATGCATTTCAAATATTCAATCTCACTCATATTTATGAAAACACGGCACAGTGAAAGTTCTGTGAACATACCATATTAGAGGTAGTTATATACACATATACCCGATGGCACAAAAGGTTTGACCTTGACTGAAACATAAAGGTTGGTGGTTACAACCTTCCCAGAGGCATTGTTGTGAGTCAGAACAGACTTAATAGCAATATGTTTGAGATGCATACACAGTCACACACTGCATAATATCTGGAAAACGTGACCACATATACGGTCCCATAAAGTTATAATAGAGTACAGAAATTCCAACACACTAAAGATTGTTAATATAATAACACAGTATTAATAATGATGTTCTGATGCACGTTACATATGAGAGCTTTTTTTTTTTTTTAATGAACCACTGCATGCACCTGGAATTTTTAATAATAATAAGCTTTATGGGTATTTGTTCGTAACTACAGGTTGTACATAAGAAGGATGATTGTAACCCAGGGAATGCCTGTATATAATACATTTGCACAATGTCCAAATCACTTAAATGCTATTTCAAAGAATTGACATATGACTATACATATATGTAGGTAGTTAGATATGTATGTATACATACAGATACCTATTTACACACACACACACACACACTCTCAAGCCCCGCTGGTACAATGGTTAAGTGCTCAACCACAAAGTGGAAAGGCTGGTTCATCGAACACTAGTTGCTCCATGAGAGAAAGGTGTGTCAGTCTGCTTCTGCAAAGATTACAGCTTAGGAAATGGGGCAGTTCTACTTAGTTTTACAGCGTTGCTATAAGTTGGAACTAACTCAAAGGAAATGAATGTATACATGCATATATGCATATGTGTGTGTGGATATATTACTGTTCTTTTTAGGCACTGACAAGATGATTTTGGGTCACTGACTCAATGTGACAGAGAAGTATCTTATAGGGACTTGGGTGCAATTACTACAGAATAGGAGCTCTGGTGGTGTAGTGGATAAAGTGCTCAGCTGCTAACCAAAACGGTGGTGGTTCCACCTCGGGAGCTGCTCCACAGGAGAAAGTTGAGGCACTCTGCCTCGGTAGACATCTACAACCTTAGAAGCCAGATGGGGCAGGTCTGTTCTGTCCTAAAGGGTCCTTATGAGTTGGAATTGACTATATGGCATTGGGTTTGGCTTTTTTTTTTGGTTTGGGGTAATTATTATAGAAGCAGATTAGCAGGTATTTCTCCAGTGGACACATTAGATACTTTCAAATAGCCGATCTATATTGATTAGCTGTTAATTGTTTAACTATCTGTGTCACCTGGGCTACGAATGTATATAAATATTTTATTGCCATGAAATCTCCTCATCTAAAGCACTCTTTTCTCCTGAGTGAATGACACTCACCTCACATGTGTGGTCTGGTTGTCATCCTCATCTTGAAGGCCATGCAATTCGTAGATTTCTCCTATCATGGAGGACCAGCTCTCATTTTTTGTGAACTGTATTATTGTATTTTCAGAAGATAACTTTTCTTCATCATTAAGGTTTCGAGAAACTGACCCAATGATTCAAGTTGAGGTACACAATATGGAAAAAAAAGGAAAGGCATTACTCAGAAAAGGCAGCTGTGAGCAAAGAAATAATTTGTCACATTTTGCTGTTTCATTAGTTTGGCAATGGTCAAAAGGCAATTCACTAGGAAACAATTCCATAAAGACTGGGAAGGATGAAGACATACACAGGGTATAATTAGAGGACAAAGTAGAAAGGTCCTGTATACAATGTAATGGAGCATTAAAAGGGAAAGTGAGGGTATTTATTTCTCCACAAACACAGGCACATTAAGGTTGATGACATTCAGAAAATCAAGCTCAGGAATCTGTGAAGTACATACTTATCAACCAAAAGGATTTTTTTCTGAAGTATTAAAATTTCATTCCCTGCAGAGGCCTAACCCTTCAAAGGACTCTTGCCTCCTGGTGCCCCGACACCGTGGTCAAGGATGAGTGGTGCACTCTCCACAGATCACCCTATTGCTACTCTGAGAGGACAAAGGAGTGTAACTGACATGGTGCTTCATGGAGGAAGACAGATCAGGAGGAGGGAACACAGGGAAGAGCAATGACCTCCTACCTGACACTGAGCCAATACTTTGGTTTTTAAAGGTCTCTGGAGATAAATAGGTATAAATTTATTTGCAGCAAAATAATAATGCCAAACTTGTAATAAATACCATGAGGCTCTTTCCAAGATCGCAGACCACAAATAATGTCTCTGTGCCACAAAGAAACCCCTGAAGTCAATGCTCACACTAACAACATCTGAAATGCCTTAAGCTTTCAACACAACTGCAAAGGAGAAGTCTGTTCAATACACTGAGCTTTGTATTCTTGGGCAAGCTGGGATTCTCATTCTCCAGTGAACAACTGACCATACCTCATTTAACAATGCATTCCTATTCCTCAGCCTACATACTGGAGCAACATCAGTGAGTAATGACATATTGGGTCACAAAAAAATAAACTTAAAAATATTGGAACCACCCATACCTACTGAGGCCAGGTTTCTGAAGGTTTCCATCATCACATCTCTGTAGAGCTTCCTCTGAGAAAGATCCAGCAGCGCCCACTCTTCCTGCATGAAGTCCACAGCCACATCCTCAACAGCCACTGAGCCCTGAAACATCCCACACATTCTGGTCAGCAGGGTCCCATGTACGCCTGTGTGTGTGAAGGGATGGGTGAGGGTGATGACTGGGAACTGAGATTTCAGGGGATTTGACACAGCATTCCGTGTAGTACTAAGGTCTCCTCTAGGGTTTTGCCATCAGCCTCATCCCTTCACTGTCTACGTTCATGTCCTCACTAACTGCATTCTATTTCACAGTCTTAATAATGCTTCCAGCACCATCAAAAACACAGTGTGCCTTTGAGCAATTCTAGTCTCATTTCTATCTTGATGGTCTAGAACAATCAGAAAACACAGCATCAATTCCAGAAATGCTCTACAATGAAAGCCTTATTTCTCAATTCAGGCCATCTCTTTCTTGTCAGGGCAGGGAAAGAAAGAAAGAAAAAGTCAACTCTGCTCAGGATCCAACAGAATATTTGACAAAATGTGAAGCACAGGGTGAAAGCAGGATACTAACAAGTAGGACCCCCTGAAGGATGGCAGTTTTTCCTTTTGTCTCTCACTAGCTACGGGAAGGAGCTCTGGTGGTGTAGTACCTAAGGCAAGTGACTGCTAAGCACAAGGCTGGCAATTCAAATCCACCAGCCACTCCTTGGAAGGAAGACTGGGCAATCTAGTTCTGTAGAGATACCACTCCAGAAACCCAAAGAGGGGGCACTATTAGTTTGAATTGACTCAACGACAGTGAATTTGGGTTTTTTTTTCTTTTTTTTTTGGTTAGCCATGGGAGGTCCAGTGGCCTGTACAAGCAACCTGGCAAACCAAGGCCCTGAGCTCGCTGTAGTTTCTTAAAGAACTCCAGGTGGCCAGGAGCTGACAGAACCACCTGCTGAAAAGAGTATTATTTGGGGGATTATGAATTTTTACATGCCTGTCACCTACCTTCAATTACTCCACAGCTGTGCTGCCGTGCACTCTGTCCCTTCATGGAGACAGACACGGGTACTGACAAGGTGAGCACAGCCCAGGGGAAGAAAGGAAATGAGAATCCAGATGCCATCACAACCGTCAAACTGGGAGACACAAAGCTACTGTGCAGCAGTTATTAGTGACTGCTCCCCTGATAAATGTAAGGCCACAGTAAGGAGAAAAGGACGCACAAAAGTGAGGTTAAAGAGAAGTTTTTATTCTGAGTTTCCGGGGGAGGTTTACGGGCCCCCGAGAGGGGCCCGGGCGAGGTTCACAGGTCCCTGAGAGGGGCCCGGGAAGTCGCACCGCCTGGCTGGTGAGGGGAGGGTTTATAGTCTTGTGGAGGACCTAAGCAGGGACACTAAGGAAATAGTGGGGTCCAATTAGCTGTTAGTATGGGTCTGCACTTAATTAGCATTAGGGGGCTTCACAAGAGGAAGCTTGCCACTGCATGGGACTTTCCAGTCTGGGCGGGTTCTGTTACTTCCATTGTCTTATCAGGCTGTCTCATCAGGGCTAGACGCCCGGAGGAAGCTGCTAACTGAAATGTTGGTGGCTTGGGTTTGCTTCGGCCTAACAATAAACACCCAATCCAAAAACCAAACTCCCTGCTATCAAGTCAGATCTGACTCATAGTGACCCCTCCTTGGGTTTCTGAGGTGGTATCACTATGGAAGTAGATTGCCCAACCTTCCTTCTGAGGAGTGGCTGGTGGGTTTGAACCACCAGCCTTCTGGTTAGCAGTCAAACGTCTTAGGCACTAGGCCACCAGAGCTCCCAACAGACTCACAGACACCCACAAACTCACAAGAGCCCAATCTGTGAAGAAGCAGAACAGTGTGTCCTTTGTTTGCTGACTGTGAACATGAGGTTAGATTCCCATTTTCTAGTGAGTTCACTGAAGTGCAGAGGATGTAGCTGTTAAACTGCTCGTGCATCCTAGGAAACAGAGACTCACACGCCGGCCCTCTAGATGCTCCACTCCACAACACTCTCACATCTGCAGCCCCCGGACGGCACGCAAGCCTGACTACCTGAACCCTGACCACTGGCACCCCCTGGGCTGTAGGACTGGCCTCTGTGAAACAGCGTCAATCCACTGGCTGCCACGAGTAGGGAGGTGACAACAGGCTGCTGCACCGTGCTTCTGATGCTAAATCTTTGCTCAACAGCCGAGCACCTGGAGGACAGACAGGCCACGGGGTGAAGTGAGCTACTGCGGCCGTCCCTCATCAATCCCGGTGTGACGGTGCACAGCAAACTATGACCCAGGGCCACATTAAATTCTCCTCCACTGCAGTGGGCCCAGTGACATATTTTATTTAGTCACCCAAAGCCCTAAGTTCCATTCCTGCAATATATTCATAAAATGCTGCATTTTTGAATAAGTGAGATATTTGAAGGATCTGCACAAAGCTCTCGGCACCTTAGCTTGTGTATTCCTCATGCCTCTCCCAAGTCGCTGTTGATTCAAACAGGTGGTCACTCCCGTGCTCAACACTGTCCAAAGGGAATGTCACCAAGCAGGGTCAGAATGCAGGGCAAGGTGCCTGAGAGACTCAATTCCTGACAACAGCATTTCTGTTCATGTGGCCCCATATATATGTGCTCATATTGTGGCTGTTGTCGTCAGTCCCATGGATGACCCAGAGCCTGCTGGGAAGGAGGGAGCGGGGACAAGGAGCCATCCTGCTCAGTCCTGCCGACCTGGAGCTCCTGGTCCTGAGAAAGCCTGGGTCTCAGCTGAGACTGGATCCCTACAGCCCATACGACTGGGTCTTTCCTTCATTGAAACTGATTTGATAACAGTGACAGAGCCTCCCTCACATGGGCAAAGCCTACAGCACGGAACCAAACAGAAATGTCTGGAGGCACAGGAATAAGGTCATTGGCTGTGGGTAGTAAATAAACAGACTATAACGTCAAGTTCCCTGGGTGTGGCACATAGTTAGTTACCTGACTGACTGATAGGTGAAAGCCTAGCATCTCAAAGCCACCGACAGGTTCCTGAGAAACAGGCCTGGCCATCTGCCCTGAGAGGTTCCAGGCTTGAAAACCCTGTCACTCAGGTCTGCTCTGCACACAGGGGGTTGCTAGGAGTCACGACTGACCCCACAGCAACTAACAACAGCAACATAATGGCACGTCGTGGTCAGCTCCATGGAAAGTGCTGCACAGTCAGGGATAAGCACTAAGACAGGCTATTTATGTTTAGTGAGTTAGTGCAGGGAAAAGAGAAGTCGTCATTCCAGAGACGCCAAGCCCACCTGACTGTGTGAGGAAAAACTATCCCACCTGCAATTCTGAAAACTCGGAAGCATGCCATGATGGTTCTGAAAACCCTCATACAGATTTCACATGGACACAGACAATTCCTGACATAGAGGCAAGGGAGTCAGACACCACTACTCACCTTCAGGGCTGGGAAGATTAGATACACGGGTGATGTCCAGAATGGAAAAGGTCACTAAAGAAGGGTAAATATGTTTAAAAAAAAAAAAGAAAGAGACTTTCAGGCTTTAGTCTGATATGTAAAGAGATGGGAAGTCATCATCACTCCTGTGTTCACAGCCAGAAAAAGCTGAGAACATACCGATCTCAGAGAACTAAGGTCACTGTGCCAACTGCTGTCCCATAACGGGGGACCCACAGGCAGACACAGAGAATCATTCCAGAGCAGAAGCCCAGCCATAGAAACCACCACCAGTGTCAGGTCCAGAGAGGGAAGACTTCAGGTGGAACTGAAGGACTATTGGAGGTTCAGTGGGCACAAGCTTTGGGGTTAAACACACCAGGGGCCGACCTTAGGGGACCCCCACAGTTTTGTTAGTTTAACTTCCAGGCACCCAACCAGGTCCTCAGTGTTAAGATC